TTACTTCGTTCTTGCACTGCGTTTGAAGCATTATATTATCGTCGCTAAAATCATACATGAAAACAATAATAATAATTTCATTTTCTAGTGAAAATTTGTTTGTTTGTTTACATTTCTGCCTTTTTCCTATAATTTCGTCAGTTACTCATCAGAAGCCATTGAGTGAATTACTGATCCTGTCACAATATGTCGCGTACATATATAATCTAACGTTAAATATTGATATGGTTTTTGTGTATGGTTTCTGCGACGATAATACTACGAAGGCGGTGCGAGAGTTTGCACGCCGATTTCTAAACAAAAGAATGCCGAATCAACGAGTCATTACAATAGCTTTTAATAGGCTGCGAGAAACCGGCTAATTTTCAATTCATCAAGATCCGTTAAGAGCAAATCGTGCAAGTAGAAAATCGTGTTCTGCGCCACTTTGATAACAATCCTGCGATCAGCGTCCGGAGATTATCAGCTACATTACGATTACCAAGGTACAGAATCTGTCAAACTTTAAAAGATAATTGCTATACGTACTATAATATATTTAAAAAATACAGAATTTGTTACCTCAGGATTATTTCAAGAAGTTGAATTTTAGCAATTTGTGTTTTTTTGAGCAATCTAACAATGATAATTCATTTCCATCAAAAATAATCTGGACGAACGAAGCCATTTACAAGAAAAGGAATTATTAATCAAAGAAATTATCATGAAAATCCGAGGGCTATTAGATTCCAGCATGAATTTGCTATTAACGTTTGATTCAAAATTTAGACTCTTTAGTGGGACCATTTTTTTTACCCGAGATTAAATGCAGCCAGATATACAGATTTTTTAGAGATTGACTTCTTTAATTATTTAGAAGATCCATTTGCAACAACGGATTGAAATGTGGTTTCAACTCGATAGGTGTCCAGCTCATTATGATAAAACTACTCGAGCTTGGCTAAACAGACATTATTATCACGACGATAAATTAAACGTGGAGGAGTATCTTGGCCACCCCAATTACCTGATCTGACACCACTGGATTTCTTTGTGTAGGAGATCCTGAAGTAGGAAGTTTATTACTCGTCAGTCAACTCAAAAGAACAATTGAGTGCATCAAATATCGCCAAATCAGTATTTAGCTGAAACACGAGTTGTTCATACTATATGCAATGCTTGCATTGCTGCAAGAAATCAATATTTTGAACTATCTACATTAAGCAAGTGAATAAAGACAACATGAACAAGTAATAAAAAAGTACAAAAATGAAAGCTATGTCTTATCTTTTCAGCAATTTTCTCCAAAACGAAGCAAAAACGAACATACCTCTATGGGACTTTTGTTTTAGATTATTCTCCATATGCTCTCGAAATTTTGACATTTAAATTCCGGGCACCCTGTATATGTATACATGGGATATATATATACACAGGATGTTCTATAAAAGATCACAATGTTTTTAGGGAAGATTCCTGATCATTTTGAAATAAAAATACTAATATCAAAATGTTGAAAAACATTTTTTTAACAAATATTTTAATAAATATTAATAATTTAATCTTTGCATACGTAATCCTTACATCGATATTAAGTAATTTGCTTTTATTTTTAGCACCTTATATTGTACCACAACTGAACGCATAAATTTTAGACAGTATGATTCGCTAACTTTAAATACATATAATTCAAAAGCTATTATTTTGATATTAAGATATTCGTCTTAATGATCTCGGGAATTTGCTCCTGAGTTGTTACGGCTTCTACGAGATACTCTGTATACGTATACACTCTGTATATATGCACGGATTACATGAGGAAAGAGTCAACAAGATGATATATACAAGGTATATATGTATTTTCCCGGTTTATCCGTACTTTGTTTTATCTACGGATTTCTTTGCACTTTGCAACATTTAGGTGTTTAAATCATTCATATCCTCATCTTCCGTATACTCTTTCGAGCATTATCACTATTTATAATATCCTAATGGAGATCCGGGCATCCGTTACCTGCACAAAATTGCATCGCTAATACGAAAGAGCTGCAAGCGCACGTAATTGGGTGAAACGCGCAAATTATGTCTGTTACTTTGTTAAGAGGAAAGACCATAGTGGCCTCCTGCGTTGGATTAAGTTTTTCGGCCAAAAACTTGCATTAGCTTAATAAACGTGGCAGTGTCCATAGACCGCGAAGTTGTGTTTCGGTAATTTACAGCTACTTTGCTTGCATGGCACGTCGCGGCGCTCACAGTGCTGGGTGTCGTGCATGCACAACGAAATTGTAAGTTAACTATGTAATTCGTTTACTAATTATCGACACCGCCGTTGGCGTGTGATAGCAGTGATTATTACCCGGCATTTTCGAAAAAGCGGGTGATAAAGTAACGGATAATTGAAAAAGTATGATGCATTAGGTCGCGAAGTTTAAGCGCATTATCCGCCGATGTTATCGCAGCTGATGGAGCAGTAAAAAATTAGGTAGCCTAGTTGCTCCTCTTCGCAGAATTGATAATTAGCTAAAAATCTGTCCATAAATTACATTAAGCGAATCGCCTTGCGACGGAATTCTATATACGTGATTACGTCATTGAAATGGAGTAATATTCGTCTGTTTCCAATGGCTGGCGGTTCAAATTCTTGTTTATCCACCCCGGCTCGATTTCTTGCCTCGTTTTTATCTCGAAGCGATGCATTACGGTAATGACTCGACGAGCAACAGCCGCAAACGCTGTCTCGCTAATTTCATCGCGCCGCATTGCGCTTCGAAACGCAACCTGTGTCTCGACGCCCTGCGTCGGGAAACGATGCGGGAGTATACAAGAGCACGAGAGCGAACGAGTTAACCGGCTAAGTAACCACGCTCGGTGCACTTCCTAATCACCAAAGGCACCGAGAGTGCTTTTAAACCTCCCTACCTCCTTCCGCAGTTACATCCTTATTCATATGAAGGCCTCTATTAAACCTTCCATTATTCTGATTATATCGCGAAAGAGAACGGCGCGGGCGGAAGAACCTCGTGAAATATATTAGTTAAAATAAGGTTAAGTACCGCCCACGTTCTTCTACCTCTTTCAACTCCTGGGAAGCCCGGCCGAATTATATAGCTCTGACCCCGGTGAGTTCTCTCGCTGTTATAATTTCGAGCTATCAATAATAATCGCTTCATGACGAAATGATTCCGTGAGAACTTGTAATCGCTACGGAGCGGATCTCTTTAATAGATTCATCTCCGTACGATACGGTTTTGGCGTTAAGGACGAGAGAACATTTTGGCGATGAACATCGTTAAAAGATACGGGATACGCTTAATGGATTTGTTTTATTATTTCGTGTTTCTCGTCGAATCAGTGTAACGCGTTCGCGTGCGGCGCGCGAAAACGTTTCATATTGGATCTCGTGCTGTTTTAATCCGACAGCGATAAAATATTGAAGCAAGATATGGAATTTATGTGCGGTACAGTGGATATGTGTATATGGGCTCGGGTGAAAATAAATACGGTACGCGGAACGGTGTCATAAATCTGCACACGGTAAAACACGCTTTGAACGTTTATTTCCGCGAATTTTCACGCCCTGTATTTAGAACGGCACTGTCGAATCGTCGAAGGAGCCTGGAATTCGATTATGAAATCCAATTTGAACGCAACGATGGTTCCGAAACCCTGATTTTCATTCTGACGTTCCGTACCGACGCGAGTCCTGGGGCTCACTTTGGAAATAATGCAGCGCATGACCCACTTTAGTGATAACTTTCTAATAGTTAGTTTCCGATTCGCAATTCACTGTAAAATTCTACATACAAATTAACCTTTTCATTATTTTACACATATGTATCGTATTGTCAACTTTCAGATTTACAAAGATGTAATTTAATCTGATATTTACATGGATTTATAACGATGTTTTATGTTTAAAACGACGAGAACTAGTTAATTAAAATATTCTTATATGTCAAATAACAAAATACAAAGGGCTAATGAGAGTAAAAACGCTGTTCTTAGTGCGATTCTATATAAATTGTATTATAATCAAACACGTATAGTTAAAATATTCTTATATGTTATATCTTTTCTGCTCTGTTCTGTTAATTACACAGTTTATTTAAATATATTTATATAAATGTGATTAACAAGACAGAGAGAGAGAGAGAAAAGGTATAACATATAAGAATATTTTAATTATACAGGATGTTTCTTAAATAACGACTAACCATTTGGTGCTATTTCTAATAAAAAACCGTGTCGAAAAATCCTCTATCATTTTGCAATTAATGAGATATTAATTTCGAAAGATTGCCACATAAACGGATAATATTGAGAGATGCAGCATAAAACAATTATAATATAATAAATCTTTCAATGTTCTTTGTGAAATACAATATTTTAAGATGATTCTTTTTGCTTATTGGAATACTAAAAAAAAAACAATATTGCAAAAATTACAAAATGATAAAGGACTTTTCGATTCTATCAGGAATAGCACTATATAATGAGCGGGCGTTATTTAAGAAATATTCTGTAAGTATGTAATATGCATGCACAAGAAAATACAAATTCATGTACAAATTAATATTTCAATTATTGGATATATGTATCGTAAACTTTGTATGTTAAACTCTCATACATGTCATATACAAAGATGTAATTTAATTTGATATTTACGTAGGTTTTATAACGATGTTTTATATTTAAAAAACGAGAACTACTGGTTAGTTAAAAATGTTAAAATACTCTTATACGTTATATATTTTCTCTATTCTATTAAGCACAGTTTATCTAAATATATATACATAAAAATACGTACAAGAGTAAAACTTGGTGCATTACGGAATTTTTATGCTATGCAGAGAGCTCGTTTCCCTTCGCGGAAGAACGCATTTTTTTTCCGTTGCTGCACGCTAATGACTTTCGCTTTGAAAAATCTCTGGAAAGCGCAGTGGTTTGCACACTCGGGAGGAATTAATAAAATATTCAGTAAAGCAGGGATTGCTTGAATCTAGCCGCTCATCGGCAGCGATATGTGCACGGGGAATCAGGGAAATAAGAAGGAACATGCCAGTGATCAACAAATAGAAAACCCAATGGTTGCACCGCACCAGCAAGCTTCCGGCACGCAGGAGTCATGAGCTAAATCCCGTAGTCAGGAGCCGTCTGAGCCGTCGTAAAAATCTTTGGTGCGATTCGTCGTCGTTTGAAGAGATATGTCGGTATCTTAACCTTAAGCTGTGGCGGATCACCGTGACGGATTTAAGATCCCTTTCGAGAACGATAAAATTAGGTGCTTGTTTTACCAGAGGTATTCGCAAAATGACCGTGAAATTTCATGCGAATTTCGAGCTGTTTTCGATAAGCGACTTCCAGAGAGATGATAAATGCGCACTGAAAAAATATTTCCGTTACTAATGCTCATAAAACGAGAGCGCAGGCAGAATGCTCGCAGCAGTTATTCCAACGTTTAATTGTATTAACGGGCGATAGACGGCGATTTAACTCAACGATTTATCGCTCGCTCGAGGGATTTATCGCGCCGTTACGCATGTGAGATCGTTCTCATCCTGTCGCACGTGCATTACGGACATTCGGATTTTGCTGGTGACAATGTCATCTGGGCAAACTTGTCTCCGTCGCGTAATCGGTCATCGTCGTGTCAGTGTCGAAATTTTCGAAAACCTTCTACATACAGATGCAGCAGAAACACTTATGGTATCAAGTTACGAGAGAATTCCTTTTCGTCATTTTATTATATAAAATAGATTTCGAAAATTATAATAAATAGATCCTATAGATCTACGAGACGTATAATGAATTAAGCTCACATGATAATCGATTTTCCACTAAACACGCAGCTGTAAGAACGTTGGTCAACATTTATACAGTCGTGTGTCTAAATCACGCTTTCCACATAACTGTGTAAACTCACGTGGCATACATCAGGTTCTCTGATAACAATACCAATCGCGTCAATCCTCGAACATATAATGGATCCTAAAATTGTTTGCATAGTTCATTAAATGTGTTACATCGCGTATTGGACGGGAATGGACCTCTCCGATTATTCGATGAGGCATTTCGTCGAAATAAACGTTGAGGACGCGCGGTCACACGCTATTCGTGACCATTGCGCTAAATGAACGCAATTAGCCGTTAATCGAGTGACTGAGATATCGCCGAGAGTCCCAGTTTAATCTTGAAGTTGAAGTCGCATTACTGCCACCGCGGGGAACGAACCCTAGCGTTAATTCACGTGGGCCACGTCAGCCGTCCGATAACTATAAATGACGAGTTACGTTGACAAATTACGATAAATCGCAGCAATTTAACATTGCTCGTTCAGGGTTATTAGGAGGCAGCCGCGTTCTGACTTTCTGAGCACAATCACAATAGAGTCCAGGATAAGAAGTTTCAATTCAGTTGGAAATTGCCTTCTTCCTCGGTCAATCTGGATAGGGAGGACAGTCCTGTAAATCCATACTATCGATCCATTCACGCGAGAATGACACATCCGAAGTGGACGCTTCCGGACGCAGATGATCAGAGCGAAGTTGAAATTAGTGGTTTACCGGAATTTGAGTGCGATGCAAATTCATACATGGACGCGTGTTCTTGCTGTACTATTTTAGAGGAAACTACTGTCGCGACACATCGCGACTGCTGTAAAAAGGAACGATCGAGAACGGAGGCTTACTGGAAAATTAAGGAGAAAGTAAAGAACGCTGTCAAGGTAATTTTCTTGAATTCAACTAGACGAATACTGCAAGACACTGTTTAAGCTAGATTATTAATTCTATTGTGAATGCTTTTAGAAAATGAGATATCTTAAATTATGCTTCTTCTCTCTTGCTTTTTCGGTTCTTATGCTTAATTGCGTTAATGTTATTTCATGAAAGAACGACGATATTGAAGCATCTAAAGTTTAATTAGACACACTGCACAGATCTGAAAATAATTTTGTTTGGACCATCAAAATAATTATGTAGGATACTCAACTGATTGCTAGAATATTAAAACTTTTGCAGCATCAATACTTAACATTAGAACGACTAATGGTACTTAATTAGAATTGACAAAGATGCCAATTTGGTAATCTTTTATCATTGATTTCGATTAGAAAAAAGTTATCTTGATGTTATTTATATTACGAGTACATTTTTAGAATTATTTGTACTCGATTTACATATTTTTTATATTCCACACATACTGTATATCTAATACAAAAAGATTGAAATAATTAGCAAATATGGCACCTTCAGCCATTCTAGTGTTAAGCATTTTACGTAATCAGTTTAATGATCTAATAAAATTGTTTTCAGATTTGTACCTTGCTAAACTTTTAGATACTTCAACCATTCTTTCTGTATAGAAATCATTCTGGTAATTTTGATATCTCGGGTAAAACAAGAATCGACCAATTATACATATATAGGTCAAATGGCTGAATTGCTTAAACGTGATTTGTTAATTCATTCTCCATCCAAGATCTCGGGACAATTTCTACAACATCGTAGACATAAAGAATGTAGAATTTAATAGATTAATACAAAAATTGTGTTAAGTTATATTTATATACAATGCAACGTGTCTTTGTTATTATTAAATGCCATAACATTTTTGCAATTAACATCAACGTCATTTGCAGAAACACAAAATATTCCTTCTACGAGGCGAGCTGCCAAAACTGAAGGGAGCGCTGGAGGCACGAGGGTGGGTGCAGAAGTACGAGTCAACTAGAACGAGAATGCTGCCATACGGTTAGATTGTAGATTGCGGACGATAAAGTTAATGCGCACCGCCGGCAGAATACGGTGCCGAACGCCACACCGCCGGAGGATGAAATATCGTCGCTAATGTCTACCATTTTCTATGTGCTTCGACGATTAGGCACCGCAGCTAACTTAGAAGCTCACTCCCTGGGCGATATCACGCACACGGATGGAACGTTGAACGAGAGAGCTGTGATTTTTGCCCTCTTGCGGTACAAGCAGCCCGACTTCGTATGGGATTGCAGGAACAATTTCGCCGAGTGGCATCGCGGACTCGGTTGCAACGTTCTGCTCAACAAATACCAGAGATCTTTCGTTTATACTTCGAAGGTACTGCTCTAACTAGCCCTACTATCTTCGCCAAATAAGAAGTGGCGAATATTTCAGGAATATTTCCTTGAGCCTAGATATTACCCACATATTCCGCTCTAAATGGTCTGACTCTAAGCGTTACCATCTAGTGTTATTTCCAAACACTTATTGCTGTCCCAAAACGTTTTATGAAAATGCTATTTCGTTGCAAAGGAGCCGAGTTGCGGATCCTTTGCGTATACTCGGTCGGAATTGCTGTCGTTCCGCGATAAAGGTGGAATCGTGGAGAATCGTCGCGTGGCGTATGATAAGTAAAACAGTTTCAAATTGCGCGTGTGTAGCTCGGAATGGCGCGCTTACTGGAAGATGCATATTGGCTGTACGAAGAGAACGTGTCCGACGCCTTGTTTCCGCGCACCTACAGTCCCAGCACGGATCAACAAGCCTTCGTGGATAACTTTCGACTGACCGCGGCTGTGGGTTTACTCAAATGGTTCGTTCGCGGTATAACCGCCGACGAGAAGATTCTCGTGGTCAATTCGGAAGAACGACAAGCTATTCCGATCGCCAGACTGGAGTTCGCGATACAGCAATGCGAGGAGTTTGTCGCCATCGCGACGCACGAGGACATCGATGATGAAAAAAGAGAGCAACCGTCCGACGAGGAATGGAATTATTTTTTGGACGATTATATGGCAGCGCTTCATCACGGAGCCGGTATCGCTAGCTCGTCAGAAAAAAGTAAACTTTTTCAGGTACAAAATTCGCGCAGTAAACTGCAATTATGCTACGGATTTGCGAAAATAGTTTTTATTTTCTCTATATATTCATTAAAGTATAGAGAATTTACTGAAATTAATTAGCTCAAATCTCTTCCCTTATTCCACTCTGCACGTTAATTAATTTAACATCGGATTATCGTGAGAAATCACGACCGAACGATTCGTAATAGTATTCACTATTGAGCATGCTTGGCGGTTTCTCGTAATACCATCCGATATTAAATTAATTAATGTGCAGAGTATAATAAAGAGAGAAACCTACTATCGGCAAGTTGAATTTTGGTTTTATGAGAACTCGTTACAGTTCTTCAATACTTCATTTTTATTTCATATTTTACGATAAAATAGTGATAAGATAATTTTTCTTCGCAAATTTTAATTTCAATTTTAATTTTAATTTCAATTAAATCAGCAGCCTGCATTTATAGCGGACTTTCTCGAATTAATACATCAGTTTTTATTTTCATTTTCTCTAAATATCATACGCATCTAAAACCCATGCTTTCAAAGAAGAAGATACTATTCTTTCGGCAAAAGCGTATCACATGTTGAACGATCGATTATGTTAGAATGGCGTGTTTATTTCGCACTCCCTTCCGATTCGCGCTAATAATAGACGCGGTTACGAGGTATAGCGTAGGCAACAAAACCAAACTGTGTTAATTATTCGAGGCGCACGAAAACATCCTTGCATTAAACATGTTCCGAGATGCTGCCGCGTGATACCATTAACTCTTAACTGATGAAACAAAATTAAAGGGCTCATGATAACGAAACGCTAAGCCGTACAAGTGAAGGAAAGACGTACGAGATCCTTAACTGATGTTTATTTATTGATTACACAAGTCCATTTCGTTTTCGTGTGCCAGATAGGTTTTTTTTTTTCGCCATTTCATTCTTCGTAATAGTGAAATTTTATTATAGGTTGTCAGACTTCGCTTCAATTAAGTGACCTCGTAAAAAAACATCACGAAAGAGATTTTAATTTATTGCATCGATCTCTTAACGATGACGTCTTAAGGACTTCCGTGTCGCGCACACGTAAATTAGAAGAAGTCAAATACGCGTGCTTATCACTAGCTTCTATTTAGGTTGTCGTTAAAAACACTTTTACCGAAACAAGTACACAATTGACACGTATTCGCGGTGTATGTATATTTTGTTCACGTAGTACAGGCAAACTTCGCACACACGCGAAATCTACCCTCTTTTCCAATCCTTTTTAAGTCTTCGATTGAAAAGAAGATTCGGTGGTGGCTTCTTGAAATTCGACGTCACCTGACAATCTCTCACGATTCCTCGATTGAGACATTCCACGATTTCATTAAATTAATTTCGCTTCGTCGACCGTCGAATTGTGGCCTCCGCTCCGGCCCCCGGGGGATCCAATTCGTCGGCAGATGAATTTATTCGAACTTTCCGGAATTAAAGTCGAGAGATCCACGAGTTACCATCAGGAGCACCGCAACGAAAACTGAGACTCTCCCGCATAAATCGATATCAATATCGTTCGTCCGTAGAAATGTTTCCTGGCCGCCGTCGCAATTTTGGAGAAATTAAAGACTGTCGATTCGCAGTATGAGATGAGCGACATGAGAGGCATTTGGATTCTAAAACCCAGTCATTTGTGTTGTGGCAATGGCATCGTTATATCTCACAATCTCAAGGATATCATGCACAAAGTTGAACAGAAACCCAAAGATTATTATATCGTACAGAAATACATTGGTACGTTTTTATTCAAACGCGCTGAAAGAATCGCATTCAACTTGTTAGTCGCGTCATTTGTATTTCAGAATGTCCCTTACTGATCAAAGAGACCAAGTTCGACATACGACTGTGGTACTTGGTTACAAGTACCTTTCCTCTCACAATATGGCTATTCAAGTAAATCGTATCACAATTAAATTATCTACGTATATCTAATATTAAAAATGTTCTTTTATATCGTCCTTATGATATTATTATAAATTTTATCATGTGTGAAAATCATCGTTATAGCATTTATTATTTATTATCTTTAACGTGCTCTTTCATACCTTTACTTTATTTTTATTTCTTATGATTAAAAGAACTAAAAAAAAGTGAAATTGATCTAAAAATGGATTTTAACTTTATACTATCACTTTATCTTTATTATGATCCACGCCTCCTATGTTCTGCATCCAGAGAAGCATTCCTTCGATTCAGCTCGAAGCCGTATACTTTCTCGAACTATCACGAGGCGATTCACATTTGCAATACTGCCGTTCAGGAGAAGTATGACGATGAGAAGAGACGCAGACAGCGACGGAGGCAAGAAGATCCCGAGGAATCCGCCAGCAGCAGATCGGTGCGCGATCAAGGATGGGACTGCGAGAAGCTGAACGAATATTTGAAGTAATCTCTCGTCTGTGCGAAGACGTTTCGATTATCCATTCGTCACGTCGTTCGGTCCCCGGGAGCATTCCGAGGAAATTGATAGGGCCCCTGTGCAAATATGCCTTCTTCGAGAAGCGCGTTCGTCCGAGAATGTTCGGGCACGAGAGCGTTTCACCGATGATAATGGCCTTGCCGTGCCCTCCCGCCGTTCCTTTCTCGAATGACAAATCGAATAAGATTTTTCGATGACACAACGTATATTCGACGTCCACGTAATTGCGAATAAAACGGAAATATATTATCCGCGATTTTGCTCGTGAATGGGCCTGTGATGTCGATGTGTTGGTGCATGTTACTATCGCACACGAAAGAGATCGTTCCCGAGACATGTACCCGGGGAATATATTCTATTCGAAAATTCCGTTGCTGTCTCATTTTAACGATAATGACTTTACTGTCGGTTATCTTTGTCCCGGCGGCGGCGGCCGAAGTAAATGGCATCTTAATGATGATCGGATATGGGAAGTTAAGTATCCCCATTGGGAAGATAAGAGAGACTGTAGTAAAAAAGAAAAACATTTTATTGTAATATATGTAAAAAAATTTGATAGTTTATTCCATAATATTTTTATCTCAATTTAATATACTTTGCTATTTTATTTAATTTTACATAATCTTGCCATTTTTACACAGTCTTAATAGACGTAATTTATATATTAAATTTATTTATAATTATTAATCTAATTGATTCTATCATATCGGAGAATCTAAATTTTGTTGAGACGAAGAATTTTTTCTATTTTGTGAGATTTTTATATAATTTATTTCTTATAACAACATTGTATTGTTATCAATATTCTAATAAGATTGACTTTTTAAAAATAAATATTAACTCTATAAACAATTTTATACAGACCACCATAAGCAAAGATTTTTCCGATGCAGTAGTATAAAATATAAAAGCTTACACTATTTTTTTAGTTTATTATTTATTTTGGAATCTATGGAAAAAGATATGATTGTTTGCGAAGCCATAGTTTATTTACGATAATTGCACTTTTCAATGAAATACGAGCTTTCACTTTGATTATTGACGCTGAGTGGACTTCTCCATCACTACAAATGTTTCAATCTATATAGCACAAAGTTTTTTTTTCAGCTAAAACTGTCCAATATATACAAAATATGTTTTATTCAACTTGTTTCATCTGAATTAAAAATGTGCTTAAATCATTTTTGTCTACGTATAACGCGTATCTCACGTTTTTAGTTATGTGTGAGTTCTAAATTGTAGGTATTCTTTCCACTATAACACTGAATGACTGAAGTAAAGTTTTAAAAATAAAACAATATTTCCGATTTTATATATATATTGTAATGTGGATCATACTGTTATTATAATTTATAATGGTTTTATTGAATTATAATTTATTTATTTATTTTTTATCACTTTTTATGAAAAATTAATCACAGAATCTTAAAACATATAATACTACCTTATTATTTTTATTACTAAACTAGATGTAAAAATATAATAAATAAAAGATGTACCTACACATCTCAAAACTAAAGCAAGTAACTTATACAGTAGTAAGTAGAGAAATGTGGTGTGAGGTTTATTCACGTGTATTTTATTTTCAAACCAAAGAAAAACTACTTACAATTTGAATAAAATTAATAGACGAATGTTTGCTTTTCTAGATCCATAGGCCATAAAGGCGAACCATATTATGATCTGATTTACCCGAAAATGACGGAGGCCATCGTTCTGATGATGCTGGCAGCACAGAATCATATGGAGAGGCGCCGTTGCAGCTTCGAATTGTATGGCGCCGATTTCATGGTGACCGAAGACTTGTCAGTCTGGCTGATCGAGATCAATACCAATCCCCGTATGCATCCGCCAAGCTCCAGACTGACAAGACGTCTTTACTCCAATGTGTTAGACAGCCTAGTGAAAGGTAAGCATCGAAACGGATATGAGAAAATTATCAAGTATAGTGCTCGAAAGAAAATTTTTCCGAAATAGCGACGGGAGAGCGGATGTGAACGGATGAAGGTAAAACTGAACGATCCGCGTGTTATTAACACCTTGTCTCGTACGAGCTTCAGAAATCGTTAACCACATTCGGCGACTAGACGAGTTACACGTCGTCCGGATAGTCGATCCGAGACGGCTCTCTCGGTTTGCTAGAACGATAACGGTGACCATAATTCGCGGCGACATAATGCCGATAAGCGCCGCGTGCCCTGCATGATGGATTTACGCGAGGAATTAACCGCGTTAGCGAGATTTCCGGAGCGCAATTATCGAGCTTGAAATGGTCAAACACCTGATTGCGTTAATTATATCTTTAATGTACCTTTCGCATATTGTCTCGACTAATGGAAGGGTGAAATAATTGAATTGATATAGAAATAATTTTATCATGTATTCAAAGTTATTTTTAATAAATATCGATTGTTTTTCAATAACTTTAAATTTATGATATGTATGGATATTTATTCTATTATTATTTATATCAAAATATTCCGTAAACAAGATTTATGTAAACGTATAAAATTATAAAAATGCTGTATATCAATAAAAGCAAATATTAATTGAAGCAAATTTGGAAATGTATGTATAAAAATTTTTGTAATATGCAATCTGATGTTAATAACATAGAGATATTAAATTAACACAAAAAAGATAATTCCTGTTAAATAAAAACATATTTGCAATAATAACATTCTTTTATTCCAGCTACCAATAAATTTGAACAATGGAGCTTTGTGAATTGGTTACTTAATCAGTCCTTTTCTATTCTCCAATAAGTTAAAAAGAGTTCCCATATTCTTTGTCCCTCATATGCATGGCTTTTTATTATTAAATTTAATTTTTACCATTTTTAGAAAAGAGTTGATACACGTTATTTGTATTAATAAAATCGCTCTGATCTCTTTTTCGAATATTTAATTATCTGAATCTGTCGAACGCAATTATATTAAGCAGAAATATTAAATTTATAAATAGTTGAATATGTTGATCTTGTAATAATAGCGTGTATAAATTAATAATTTTAAATGAATATTTTAATAATTAAAAATGAAAAGCACAATTATTTTTTCACATTTAAAAGTACCGGTTAGTTTACCAATTTTAATATCGTAATAAATCAGAAATTCTTTTGCTCTACCGAGATTTAAATATCAAGAACTTATGAATGTGACAATGATATATTATTTATAATATAGTTAAAATAAGAATTGAGGATATAAAGACAGATATGTAATGTTACATATTTCAAATAATATATAAATAACACGTAAGATACGAATAAGAATGCCGCGTTCTCTTTTCAATGATAAATGCAAGTGGTATAAGAGAGTTTAAGAAAACTAGTATGTGGCAGCGCACGATTTCTCGTAATCTGCTAATCTGTTTTCTACAAACTCCATCACCGTAATCTAGGTAAGAGCGATTTTCGGTAGTAAGTGGTGCACGGTGAAAATCCTTCGATCGCTTTGCTTACAGTGATAATGGACGTGCCGGTGAACGCTTGCGCCGACACGGGTGGCTTCAGTCTGGTCTACAAGCAGGACATACCCGACTTCCAGCCGTACCTCGGTCCCTACCTTTTCGTAGCTGGCAAGTCGATGACACTGCACGAGCGACCACCGGAACCAACATCGGGGAAAGAAAGGAGAGCAAACATTTGCGGTCCCTGGAGCAAGCAGCAACGTGCAAGGACCGCCCCGCCCATGATCCTACGCTCGAGAGAACCGAACGTGGCGGATCTTATTGACCATTTGAAAGCCGCTCGGTGCACCGCGGCCAATTGACGTGAAACCCTCTCACTCAGTCGGTGGCGTTGGTGCCATAAGATAAACATGAAAACGCGATCGGTGAGTGAAGCGATCCTTCAATATTTAAAGGTGCGTGTTTTTAGTTGAAACAGGTATTATAATATTATTTAGTATTAGAATATATTAAAGTAAATGGAATTTTTTTTATTGTGCATATCCATTAAGAAAACTTCAATAGATATATACAGTCTAAAAAATATCTGTGTGAATTTAACATTATGTGATGTCTATGTATATCATTTTTACAAGAGTTGAAAAATAACGCATTCTTGTAACGTCGTTACCATTATCGTTATCTTCTTCTATCTCTATAACGGTAACAAAAAAACGTTATATTTTTACAGTAATGAATTCAGATGTTACTTTTATCGGTTTTTTTATCTCTTATTTTTATATTTATTCAATGGATTATATTTTATTTTATTGCAACGTTCTCTACATAACTATATTAATAGTTAAAAACAACGTTTAATAAAAATTTTTAATAAAATATACGTCTGTAAATTACAATCTATATTTCTGAAGATAAAACATATTTAAAAAGTTAAAAGTGAAGATATTACCATAAAGAATTATAAAACACTTGTTAGATAAGTTTAACATAAAGAAAAGCTAACTAGTGATTAGCGCTTTTAAATTTTTTTGATAACTCTACAGACCAGAAAAGAAATTCCGTGTTTGGTGATTTTTTCGAATAGGCTTTAGTTTTCAAGTTTTTAAATTTTGAAAATTGGCGCTTAAAACAACCTATACAATAGGGATCCTTGTTTATCTTGTAGGTTAAACAAATACACATATTGTATAGATTGCGGACTAATAATAAACGCACGGTGTAAACGTAGTCTATGTCCCGAGTTTACGCGAGCCGGTTATTTGCGAGCTCTCGAGATTATCGGCTATTCATATTTTGTTCTGTGGGTATCGCACACTTCAGCTTCTTTACTACTGCACTATATCTGCATTTCGAACTCGCATCCTTTGATTTCCAACGCAAACATTTAATCATTTGAGCCAATCGTACTGTGACTTGTGAAGCATATCAATCTACGGTGCCCAAAGCGCGGCCAATTTTCAAAATATAAAAGCTCGAAAATTAAAGCCTATTCGAAAAAATCACCGAACATGGAATTTCTTTTCTATGTAATGTTACCAAAAATTTGACATCGAAATACAAGGATACCACTTCAGAGGTTCTCCTTGTAAGTTTAATTTTGATTGTTATATTTAGTATTGTGATTATCAACTAATGTAATTTTTAAATGTAACTTACTTTAACATTACAAAGAAATAATAAAAGAGTAACAAATCGAATAATAAAAGATTAAAAAAAGAGTAACTTTCTATGTAACAGTAAGGGTAGTGCGTTACTTTTTAAAATTAGTAAGGAGTAATGGTATATCGAAAAAAATGGTCTGGTTGGATTAAATAATAACTCTGATGGAAAACGGAAGAATCAAAATGTTCTAGTTAAATCTATTAGAATTCTAGTTAAGATAATTAGACAATTTTGATTAATATAATTATTGTAAAATAAAAATAATAAGTCTAGTAGATTTTATCAGAAATGTTGTAACACAATTAGAATTTCGGTTATCTCAACTAGAATTCTAATAAATTTAAATAGCAAATTCTGATTCGTCCTTTCTCAATCAGACATTTTTCTTAGTGTAACAAGTTATTTTTTTTATATAAAAAGTAATGATAACATGTTATTTTTATGAAATAACATTTTCAACTCTAATTCTCATCGTGTTGATATTAATAATGACTAGCATGATGTATTAGATTTAACATCATATATTTCAATCCACATCATGATGATGTCGAGATATTCCAATATATCAAGAGAATTATACACATATAGTGTTAAATTCATATCGTTATTTTTTAGAGAGTTTTAAAATTTAAATGACTTTGTCGAAATTGATAAAAGAGATAGTTTAAAGTGGTGAAAAGAAGTTGCAGAAGACCTTCGTTTTCTGATTAATCGAGGGCACTACCGCGCGATTGAACGCGAAATTTACGCGTCCGTATTTTTTTACAGTAAATTTAGCACCACGCCGTAATTAACGAGCGTGAGATAACGCTGTGTAATTAATGTTGTCATTAGTGAGGCGATGTCCGCGCGTGTTGGCATCTCTTCTTTCCGCGTCTCCGAGGAAAAGCGCATGTCTTGAAGAGATGTGCTGGTTGCTCTATTGGATATAGTGATGTAAACTTTCTCTCGAAAACATAACGAACTAAACTTCCTTGGTCGCGGTGATTGACGGAGTACTTTTGCGAGGAATTTGCAACACGATGCATAATCTTGTCAACAACGGTCTTACATCTATACTTTCCAAGTGAACACCAGAAAATCTACTTACTAAGCAAATTTACATACAAATATCGTAATACGAAAAATAAAAAGTTTGAACATTATTATCGGAAAGTCTAAATTAACACAAAGTCATTATTTGCTTTAGCAAATTGGTTCAAAATTAGCCTCACTTTGGTAGAAGTTTATGACGGCTCGATAGCCTGACGAACCCCAAGAACCAGATGATCCAGATAAAGACAATTGTTTTATTGATATGTACATACAATAAATTTATTTACAAATAATACAATAAATTTTGACGTCGTAAGTTATTTGTTCTTGATGATATATGTTAACAAAATACTACGCTCTTACCGATTATTGTGCCGTGCTGATATTTGAAAATCCTTTTGGTCACGGAAGTTCGTTTTTGTCTTTTCTTTTAAATGTAAACGGTAATGTTCGGTTTTACCCTGCACAAATATTATCCAAGAAACGTTAACGACGTTAAATAGGCAAACCGCGATTCTCAGCAATCGCGCTTCTCGTGTGTGTCTGGGTAAGTGTGTTTCCGTACTTCTCGCCTTATATAAACATTATATTAGCTATTACTAAAATTATAAAACAAATCGGCCGTGTCTTGCTGTACGAGGAGCTTCCGCTTTCCCCGTGATGCATCGCGGCTGGATGTTCCTCTGTAACAGAAATTTTCATCGATTCGATACGGTAATCTACGAACGGATTATAAACGGATTATATACGTTTTAATACGATTTTGTCATGTGTACTATAAAAAAAATATACATAATCCATATTATTCACATCGGTGCTCAGTTTTTAAATTAGGATAAATTAAGTAGATAGAACATAGGATTATATTCCGTATAAAATATACGAAATAAAAAGAGATACACCTTATAGAAGTTATTATTTTACACTTTATCTAATTTCATTTGCATATTATTTTGAAGATTCGTGAAAATGGACTCTACGCGTATTGTCACAATCTTGCAATATTATTATATAATAAAACTTAAGTAGTTGTCCCTGTTTCTCTGTGTCCCAGAAATTAGTAAATACCAACTCAATCGAAAACCGATACAGATTCCTCGCAAGTCTGAAACTAATAATGCACCGGACGTTTAATCAGTTTAGACGACAAGCTAAATTGAAATTGCCGATACAAAACGAATTTAAACGTTTTCTGGTAAATTACATATAGGAGCAGCAAAAAGAGCAAGATATTAACAAATGAACATTAACTTTGGCTTTTGTACGTACATCGCGTGCTCATCGGTTTGTTCTACTTTTTCCACAGGAACAAAAATGTTGTTACACACAAAAATATTCCTATAGAAATGCGTCGTGTTGAAATTTGTAAAAAAACTGTGCATGACGTATGCAAGAGCAGTATTGCAGATAAATGATGCTAACGCATACATGATGACGATAACATATCTTCCTTTTGTGTAGATATCGATACACATGGATGGACCGTTTCATCCGGCCAAACTGTCAGCTGTTGTTCTAGACAACACGCTTCAAATTTGTAATTTGATATATTGGTTTTGTCTGATTATGCATCAATTCGTTCATCATATGTTATGAGTAAAAAAAAACAATTACAGATTTTTTCATAATTGGTAAATATGTTTCAAGATATTTTCGTACACGTCAATAATTCAATCAATCAAATGATTTTTACAAAGAATGTAAATAATGCAGCGGAAAACTTGCATTTGAAAGATTTTCATTAAAAATATCGAATCATGACATAATTTGAAAAAGTTAAACCGTTTGTTATGTACAATATTATTGAAAATTTTTATTCTTCTTGACCTTTGATTTCATTCAATTGATTTGATCTATACTTTGCCTAAGATCCTTAAATATCTATTGCCAAAAAGACAGTTTGAAAAGGTTAAACCGTTTCTGAGAAACCTTATACATTAATAATCGAACGGATAAATAAACAAATGGACGGATGGATCAATACAGCGAAATTATAAAGTAAGTAGTTTGCTGTGTTGCACTATTTAATAATCAAGATAAAAAAATTTCTTAATATCTGCTTAATTTCCTCACATCTACGTTACAAATTTTGTTAAAGTATTTTTTTCAAGTATCTTAAAATTGTTTAAACAAAGTAATGAATTTGATCATGGATAAAGATGTAATAATATGTAAAGACAACGAAAAAATTTACACAAACTTACGTGCACATGGTAAGCTTTAAATTTGATTGCTTCAGCATGAGAGGCAAAACTCGTAAATTCCACCGGCTTCAAAAATATATCGAGTTACGAAAAAAAGCTCCTTCTTTTAGAACGGACGATACAATCCGCTTTCGTTTGATTTTATTTTGCTCGTAACTGGACGCATTCGGAAATTGCGTGAGATTTCGCGTGAAAATCAGGCTTTGTCATTGCTTTGTCATCGCGAATCGACGCATCGAGAGCGCGTTGCGTTCGACGAGAGAAAGGGAGACGAAAAAAAACAAGATTTTGAAATCCGCTGCATTTTGCAACGCATGTATGAGAGATCTATCCGCGGTGTTCCGCGCCCGAGCAATCGACTGGCCGTAACCATCGATTTCAAGCTTAACGCGCGACTTGCCAGATAGATTCGGAGTTTGCAATATTTACAGAAAAGTCAATCAACGTTACTTTCGCGCAGCTCTCCACGAGTTCTCTCGTCGCGAGATGCGGCGGGCACTATTTCTGTCGATTCATTGTAATTGTGGTAAAGCCGCTTGAAGCTCGAATTTTTTTCCAGTTTTCCGGTAAACCGCGAAATCTTGATCAAAAATTAAAAAAAAATTTTGCGTTGACGAGGATCATGAAAAATTGAAAAAGAAATGGGTGGCAAAATACAAGTGAAATAAAGATTCGTCAAAACAATTATTTTATAACGCGATTCATAATGTATGAAAATAGATTTATAATATATATCTACAGAGTAGGACATTTCAACTCACCGTTTACAACGTGCACCTTTATGCTGCTAGGATTCGCGTTGCTCGGTTCGCACCGATAGATCCCGGAGTCGCCCGGCATAGCTTTCTGAATCATCAAACGACTCGTTGTTTCGGGCCCCTTTTCCGTGACAAGACTGATTCCGCCACGTGGCGAATCAAAATTGATAACCTGGATATAATTATAATAAACTTGAATTTTTTTATTAAACGATGAAATTATATGCACGATGTATTCGCAATTAATTGAAAACAGAATATATACATATATATATATATATATATATATATATATATATATATATATATACCAATAACGAAAGGACATCAAATTAACATACGTAATATAATCGAATGCTCGCAATAATAACAATATTATTCAATGCAAAATGATTATGTGATTAAATTAATAATAAAGAAGAATTAATTAATTAGAAAATATATAAATAGTTTACTTATATATATTATAAATATACATAAATGTGTATTTTATTTCCCTCCACCCCCTTTTCTCTGTTTCTTCTTCTCCTCCCTTCTCTCTATCTCTATCTATTTGTCTGTCTGTCTGTCTGTCTCACCATTTATTTATAATACTTTATAAAGATTTTCAGGGTTAGAAATGTTACTTCATAAAAGTAACGGTTGTTATCAAAAGAAGTAATAAAATGTGATATATATATAACGTGTTACTTCCTTTGAAGATTTCTAATTACATACACTATACAACTACATCTCATATATATTTTTCTTTTTATAACTTTACTTTTACTTATTTCTCACTTTAAAAAACTTCTGTTCTGTATCTTGTCATGATGTTACTAATTTATCATAACTATGTAAGTATTATGCTTGGGCGTCGAGTGGCTTATCGCTCGGTTCGATCGACTCGTGATCTGTAGATCCGAGTTTAATTCCACTTGCGATTTTTCGCGTGTAAGCATTCGAAAATGACTCCATCTGATGATTAAGAGATCTATGCGCCGTTCCAGCCTTAAACTGCAAGTCGCTTCTAAGGAGGATTGGACGTAAGGTTTAACAACCTTATTTCGTAAAATAAGACGTTAGGGGCTCCGCAGAATAAAAGAAACAGGGAACAGAGAACAGAGAATAAGAATTTCAACCTATCAGAAATCATATACTGTGGAATAAACAGTGTGTATGCCATAGTACATGATTTCTGATAGGTTGAAATTCTTATTCTCTGTTCCTTTTATTCTGCGGAGCTCCTTATACGGAACCACATGGAAGCCTCCGAGCTCACCCCGAGCTGTAGCGCCGAGTGAAATGGAATGGAGGTATTATGTTTAGTACTTGAGAAGACATATGATCTCTTCAGAACGCATAATAAATAAAGATTCTGTTCTCTCTCTTTATCTCTCTATTTTTTCCCTGAATTAAACTCCCTTCATTAAAAAGCCTTCTTTAAATTACTGATATACATATAAATTTATGAGAAATTAAATTAATAGCTGAAGCTTTCTCTATGTCATGATTATATATATCGGAACTGAGATAGTATCTATCCGAACGTTACACTATTGAAAGTTTCTAAGGGCTCGTGCTCCATGACATAATGATAGGCTTTGGGAAACTAATAATACCGGTCTAATAATACCGGAAATAAAGGCTAACTCTTTTGTGATTTGCATCCTCTAATATCGAACATGTAGACGCGACGCCGTATGCATTTTATCCGCAATCGTTCTTTCGAAGACGCCGCGCGCGCCTGTTTTCTTACATTTTTCTGGAATCCTCGCTTTTCCCGACAACGCAATGACGCCCCTTTGGCGGAAGATAAAAGATACCTCCCCATGAGGTACAAGACAAAGAATAGCAGGAAACGCGCGTATATACGTTTCTTTCGTATTCTCTTTGAGAATAAACACGCGTAACGGCACGCCCCTGTATAGAATGGAAAACTATCCTTCGCCTTTCCTCTTTCGCTTTTCTTCCAGTGCTTTTCATTTCTCTTATCTTTGAGAAAAAAAAGTTAACTCGTCCCATATCTCATACGATGGCAGAATCGTTTCGCCGTGTGTAATGTATGTATCGCTTTACAGAATAAATGATTATCCGCGAATCGAAAACCACGAAGGATTAATCGGAAAATAATTTCCTTGGCTGCCGCGTACGGCTGTGCCAGCGACCAGTCTTCTATTTCGCGTTTCACTTTGATCAACGTGCGCGATAGTACCTTGCGAAAATTGTGTTACCTGCTGTTTTATTCTAGTAAAAGCACGTAGCCGAGTGAGTGCAGCGCGTATCTCCAGCGACCGATGGCATACCGATGTATCGGCAATCAGCCGAGAAATTACTGTCTACCCCTCCTTTTTTATCGATAGTTTGCTAGTTTTTACTACAAATCATGCGTACACATATGAGCGTCTCATTAACGCGCGCAGAATAATTTCCGCTCGGCCGATACCAAACGTGGAATTACAAATATCGGCCCACAGAGGAGAATTTAAAATTATCTCGTCATCGTGAATAAAACGCGGACGCGCGACGCCGCGAATGTTACGTATTTTACGTCGCGTAAAATTATTCTAAAGAGTTCGTCAATATTAATGGGTTCCGTGGTGTAATGTGCTCTTTGTGCCCCGTGAAATGCGCGTTTACAATAACTTTTGTTGCACAAAGTGGTATTAAAAGCACAAAATGTATTTTCCCATCGCGAAGAAAATACGCACCGACAGACCATATTAATCATGTATGTCTATTGTTGCCCGACGCGGCAAAGAGCGTCGTTATGCAACTCGTCGCGAGATAAATTACGGACAGGAAAATCGCAGATGGAACATCGAGTCACGGTTAGAAATTCCGGTCCGCAAGACTATTGTGCGAAAATTATAAAACTGTAATCCGTAATTACAGAAACACATGTTATTGAACTTATTACTCGTTTATTTTATACAAGATGAGTAAAGCAAAATATACTTAAAATTAAATCGCGAGCCCAATTTTTTAAAATTAAAACTTTAATTAAATCTTATTATAAAAAAGTTTTATCACAAATTTTAAACGAATTCAAAACTCAAAATTGTTACAAAGATTTTTTGCTCCTACGGACTATTATCTTTCATTAATTTATTTGCGAAAGTAAATAAATAACACTCACTTCCGTGTTATGACTCCAGGTCATCGTAGGAGGTGGTTCGGGAGCGTATTTTACGACGCACGTCAAATTGATGGTGCTGCCCTTATTGACGAAGAGGTCCGGCGCTCCGATTATAACAGTTACCGGTTCTGAAACAAAGAAGGACGAAACGATTTTAGTGGTATAGTCCGTAGTATAAAATGACCAACTTCTTAAAAAAACAAAGAAGGGGAAATTTAAAAAATTCAATATTAATTGTTATATTATCATATTATTGTATTTTTAAATAACACTTATAATATACATAACGTCACATGAGATCACAACAAAGTTACATCAAGTCACGAGATCACTTTTTATTTTTTTAAATTATAATTTTATTGAATGCATTTTATAAATAATATCCAGATTTTTAAATAAAAGATTATAAAATTCTTTGCATATTAATTAAAAGTTATATTTCACATTCTTATTATTTTTACTTATTTTACATTCATTAATTTCACACTTAAAAGAGGGACAATTTACAATGTCCTTAACTTGAGACAAAATGTGGGACACGTCGTAAAGTCGCAATTTAGAACTATTCTGCCTAATTTGACAGTTGCAATTTAGAACTATTCTGCCTAATTTGAACAGTTGATCACTCATCTGTAGCTATTTGATGATCGTGCGAATGGATCACTTAAGTAATACGATGATTTTTATCGTATAATTTTATTATATTCAATATTTTTATCGCTGAACCCTCAACTGATGTACCGTGGAGTGAACTTTTAGGTCAAGTCGTGTTGAAGATCCTCTCAACCTTCGAAGTATCTGGTGGTCATTAACGATATATCTTCAAGGATATAAGATATCTCATATCACTCTCTTTACTTGAATATATAAATGCGTGAAGTTCAGAACGCACCCTATATATATTCTTTTATATTTATCTGTCAAGGTCAGAAAATCACGAATTTATAGCAAAAATTTAATGCAAAATGTATATTTTTTAAATGTTAAATAATTTAAAGATGGAATCACACGTGCTCGTTTTCTTGTAATAATATGCATGCATGCAGTCATGCCTGCTCTGATGCATGCTAGAATACGTTCATGCATTGAGCGGTGCATCCATGATTTCTGTACACGATTTTTATGCATGATTTCAAGTTTGTTTCCTTGCATGCACCAATCAGAAGATTGAAAATGGTCACGTAATCGGGCAGACATCATCTTCAGAATAGAAACAATTGTGCTAATTTCGTAGCTATCTGTCAAACGTCAGATTTTCAGCTAAAAAATGTACTTTTTGTACTTCATTATTTACGTTTTAGAGCTTCATTGCGTAAATGCTTATTGTGATTTGGATTTTCAATAGTATATAATGTAGGTTCGTTTTATAACAATCTGACACACACATTCGCGCGGACTGCTCTTCGGAATTATGTGGTTCATATATATCGTAACAGAGCGGTATGTATACCGGTTTACACTGGCTCTACACCGTCCTTTTGAGATCGTGTAGCAAAATCCCACTTCGTGCATAAAATTTGCCCTACACTATAGCTACGGAAACACGAATTACACTGAATGAGTTTGCATCACCAAAGAAACGCGCTGCACTGTCCTAATGTTGCACTGGTGGGCGATAGTGCAGCCAAGAGAAAACGCTAAGAAAACTCTCTGCCCCCTTTTCTTATCGAGTCACTGAATAAGATCTATGGATATATCTGATTCTGTCGGAGCTCGGAGCTGGATGGAATTGAGAGACGGTAGCAACAATCGCGTATTTTTATACGGATTGTTACTCCCGCTCATTCTGTTCCGTCTCGGTTCGGTCGCGTTCGGCAGTCGACGATTCTCGCGGAGGGGGACGTCCATCGTCCATCGGCCGTGCTCGGTCGTATCGGCGGTTGCTACTATTGGCGATGGTTATTCTCGGATTGCGAAAAAAAGTGCAGATATCTTACGCTCTTAACGGCCGGTATCTGATCGGAACGATGCACTGCGGGGGCATCGTTACAGTTTTTATACTCCTTTATTAATACTATTATTTGGTCTTTATTCCATGACATTTATTAGCTTGAAATCTGACGTTTGACAGATAGCTACGAAATTAGCAATTGTTTCTATTCGAAAGATGCTGTCGATCGTTTGCCCGATTACGTGATCATTTTCAATCTCTTGATTGATGCATGCAAGGAAACAAGCTTGAAATCATGCATAAAAATTATTTACAGAAATCATGGATGTCAGTATGCATCACTCAATGCATGAACGTATTCTAGTGTGCATTAGAGCAGGCATAACTGCATGTATGCATATCATTCAAGAAACGAGCATCGTGTGATCCTATCTTAAGTGTGGAAATTGATTAAAGAAATTTTTAATGTACAAGTTGAAACATATCGCTTTTCAATTGAATTTTTACGTACGGATAATCGGAGATAAAGGATTTTAATTCCAGATACACACACATTTAACTCTTATGAAAGATACAAAAAAATTTCAATTTTATAGATATACATATTGAAAATATTATACATATTATTATACATATTATATTGAAAATCGCAAGCGTTACCGAATTTATGAACGGCAGTATGCTTTCTACAATTCAAGATTAATTATGAATGGAAATTCCTCTTCTGCATGTAGCTGTTAATTAAACGATGGTTATATTATACACAAGCTGACTATAGAAGGTACGGCTTTGCACTTTCTTCAACTAGTGGAAAACTTTTAAAGTTATATTGCATCCAGTGGAATGTTTGAGTCAAACTCATGATGTTACTAGGAAATTTATATCGCTTCAAATAAATACGTTTCTCAATGAAAGTAAAGTACGACTTCGAAGTTTCATCACCAAAGTGAAAACTTGAAGGAAATTAGAAATTCAAAAGTTTTGTAAATGAGATCGTTAGCGGATATAATGTTGACATGATATCTGTATTGGATATAGGTAGTCAGTCACTTCTCGGATTTCATTTCTTTTCGTACTTCCGAGAAATGAAAACTTAATGTAATATAAAGTTAATTATTCGCTCACCGACTATCGTTAAATACACAGGGTGGCCGATGGGCGGGGTTGTAGATATTTGGCACTCATAAATCCCGGAATCCTTACGCTGAGGATATCGTATCCTCAAGGTCCAGTCCTCTGTATGAGGAGAGTGTAGTGCCTCGAAACGTTGATCACTGGTATAGGTATAACGACCAACTGTTAACAAATGTATATCCCGGTGCCTCACCCAGGAAACCTGCAAAAAAGATATCATATGTCATTCTTAGTACACTACTATGTTTCTATAGATACATGAAAAAAAGTTTTATTTGCAGAATTATTCTGCTCTCTAAATTTCTTGGAGTAAAATCTTACTCCTAAAAAGTTAAAATACTGCATGCGACTATATTGAATAAAAGTGAAAAATTTGCACTCTTAAATACGAGAGGCAAATTTTGACTTACGTGGACAAACAGTGGACAAACCAATGTAATAATGATATTACCAATATTCGCATTTACAGATTCCAACTTTACAGAGCTGCTTTATGAAGTTGGCACCCCTAAATGCGAATATTGGTAAAATCATTATTGCATTCGTTTGTCCACTGTTTGTCCACCCGTTATTTTCGTTTGTCCACCCTATGTTTATTATATTTTTTGTAATAGTGTAAAATAATCACTTGGGGGTGTTACAATTTTTTTTTGGGCATAACTTTTTTTAGGAGGGTGGATCAATGAAAATAACGGATGGACAAACGTGGACAAACAGTGGACAAACGAATGTAATAATGATATTACCAATATTCGCATTTACAGATTCCAACTTTATAGAACTGCTTTGTGAAGTTGGCACCTTAAATGCGAATATTGGTAAAATCATTATTGCATTCGTTTGTCCACTGTTTGTCCACGTTTGTCCACCCGTTATTTTCATTTGTCCACCCTCCAAAAAAAAGTTATGCATAAAAAAAATTGTAACACCCCCAAGTGATTATTTTACATTATTACGAAAAATATAATAAAAATAGGGTGGACAAATGAAAATAATGGGTGGACAATCACGTGCGCGTTGTGGACAAACGATACCCGTACATAATTATGAAAAATTATCACTTGGGGATGTTACAATTTTTTTTTGTGTATAACCTTTTTTTGCGGGGTGGACCAAAGAAAATAACGGGTGGACAAACGTGGACAAACAGTGGACAAACGAATGCAATAATGATATTACCAATATTCGCATTTAGGGGTGCCAACTTCACAGAGCGCTACGCGCGCGATTCTTTTTTTTTCGAACGACCATATAATTTTCTCTTACAAAATTTACACCAAAGCATAGTCGATTAAGCTTTAAATTATAATTACATTTCTTTGCGTCTTATTAAATTCGTTATATTCGGAAAATCTTATTGATTTCCGCAACATTTCCGTCTGCCATATTGAATTTAAAAATTTGGAACACGGAATCAAAATCAGCGTTCGCGGTAACCCCCATTTACCTAATTTCGCTGAAATTTTTAAATTATTATGTATTTCGCAACACTTTCGTCCGCCATTTTGGATTAACCATTTGGAATTTCCTAATTTTGATCACGGATTCGAAATCAGCGTCCGCGTAAGCCCCCTTAATCCAAATTTCGCCGAAATCGGAAAACCTTTAAGATTTTCGCATATTGTCCGTCCGCCATATTAGATAAGTCTTTTTTAATTATCATAATTTTTACCATGTTTTTAAAAGAGTTTCCCCGAAAATTCCTTGTTACCAAAATTCACCATTTTCGGATTACTTTAACTGCCTCAACGAATAGAGGCTTCAAAAAAACGTCTACACGCCTTTTTTAAGATATGATGATTATTAAAAAATGATTATTAAGCGCATATGGCATTAAAAGTCATAGAGAACTCTTCGTATCGTCAAAAAGAAGCAGAAATTATCATCAGAACTATTGTATCTAAAAATTAATTTTTCAAAAATTTTTAATTTTTTTTTTAATATTCGAAACTTTTTTTTACATATCAGGAACTCTAGGCAATCGCAAATTGAAGCTATTAAGCCGCTCAGAACTATTCCACCTCGAAATTCGATAAAAAGTTAGCACCCAAAAAATGTAAAAAAAATGTTTATTGAGCGGAACTCTTGTTATTAACTATAGGGAACTCTTCGTCTCGTTAAAAAGAAGTGGGAACTCTAATCAGAATTCCTGAGTACTATAGTTGGAGTGCTAACTTAACATACCCAAAATTATTTTTAATTAAACCGATGCTGTTAAAGGATTCCAGTTTGCTCACTATTACTATCTTTTATTATAATATCGGAAACGGGAAAATAGACAATACAAATTTTTGCAGATATATTAATATAGAAATATATTTTAATAAAACAATAATTATAAATGATAGAATCTTATATAATTGATAGAATCAATTTTAAAATATACCGAAAATTCTTCTTTTGTTTCATTAATTAATGAATAATTGCATATATACTTGAAAATAAATTAGTAATTAAAAACAAAATGAGCTATGTTTACAGCTACGTCAAATTATCAAATTAATAATATATAGAAACAAATATGATTTAATATCAATTTCTCTCTGAAACAAGAAAATAATTTTCACATATACGATGTGTTTTATATGTAAGTCTATCGATTGAAAATGTTATTAAAATTTTATTAAAAATAATTTTAAACATAATTTGCAAAAATTTTTATTCTGTACTTTCTTATTTCTGATGTCACAATTTGAATACAACAGTGAATAGCAGCCTTAATATAACAATTTTTTCGTATACAATTGATAGCGATACAAGTTGTTGTCTTCATAAACAGTTCAACTATGATAATGAGATGTTTAAGATATATTTATACATGAATGCAACTTAAAAAATATAATATAAAAGTATAGAGGGAAAACTTATTAATCTTGTAATATGGCGTATCGAAATGCACGAATTTTATGTTATCGAGGATCAAAGCAAGTGATGCATGTATATAGGCCACGGCCATGTGAGGAAATAATGTACCTGTGTACATGCCATAGATGGACTGTCAATATCAGGCGCGTTACTGCTCTATGATATATTTATCTATTCTACAGCGTTGCCTGCGGTTTGCATAATACATTGCTTAATGAATAAATCGAGAGCTTATTTATTTGTTTAATATCGTTGCTACTGTTGAATTTTTATTATCTAAACCTGCAATAATGTATCGCAGCCTGAAAGGAATAAGTGAAATTTAACCAAATCTCTATAGAGATTACAATTTAAGTGCACGTAAATCTCATCAGAGTTCCAATTTTCTCAACAATATATATTAATTCTATCGCATTGACATGCAAAAAAACGTGAACTAATAATAGATGCAAAAAAGAATTTCATCGACTGCATTCTCCGGTAACATTTACATTTAATTGACCCTAATTAACTTTAGATATTGGCGAATATCGCGCAACGACTAATATTCGCGAAATAATTTGTTTTATTCATTATTGATATTTTCATCCAATAGTTTGAAAAGTCCGAAAGTTTTCATTCACTGTAACACGAATTGGCTCAATGAGAAGTATCTCGTTTTTATGAAATTATTACAGGTACATAAATAATTTTACTAATTACACAAAGTAATCGTTACATAAATGAGTGCTTGCACATCTTTTATTATTGCTTAATTTTTAATTTGATAAAATTTTCGAAAATATGTATAATAATATTACGTGTCGATGAAAAGTTTAATGAATTGCCGATTGAAATTTCAAACTTGTCGCTCTATCATGTTCATAAAATATATATTGGATAAACTAAACGCTAGCAAAATAATTAACTTCCGTCCTTTAATTCCGGATATAAAATTATCTCCATTGTTACGGTGAAATTGATCGAACTAAATACGAAAACCATCAAAATCTTATTTTGTTTCGCAATTTTATTTCTTATGAATGATTGAGACGGGGATATTTTATAAAAAATATATTGGCGATATTCCATTTTTTGCCTGCGTGAAAATTTTTTGTCACTTAGGGCCGATTGTTCCATCTTTCGGTAAAGTTTACCTGTTAGGTAAATCTGGCAATCCGCGCACGTGATTGAGTAATCGTGTTACTTACCTAACAGGTAACTTTATCAAAAGATAGAACAATCGGCCCTTAAAGAGTGGACATTTTGGGATTTATCTAAATATAACTTATCGAGACGAATAAAATGACCCCTCCTCTTACACACATACACACACAAAACATAAGTTCTTTAACCTATGTAGCCCCCTTTCAAATCGAATTGTATGCCAAACGATGCTATATGATGGAACATTAATCCAAAAATAAATTTAAGTTGAATATACAGGTAGTTTTGGAGATGCGAGAAATTAAAATAGTTAAATTCCTAATATTTCTAATGTTATTCAAGTATACAAAAAAAATTATTATTTTCTTAATAACAATGGGATTTTGACTAAAATTAGTCAAAATAATTTTTTGATCTCCATCATCTAGCATCATTTAGCATAAGTTTAATTCGAAATTCGAGGCCAACAAAATGGGCTAAACTTATTGTTAGAAGCATTTTTTCATCAAGTTAGAAAAGCAACGTATTTCTAATGGTTATTGAGGTAAATAAATATAAAACTGTATAAGTAATTTAAAAAAATCTTCTAATTACATAATATTATATTATGATAAAATTGAGTAGAAGTCTAAAGTACCATAAATAATAATACAATTTTTTTTTTAGTTTGGAAGAGAGAAAGTATTCGGTGTGATCGGACAGGTTGAGCGTACACCGCGCGCTTTTCGGATCATTTTACGGAAACTTCGATGTATTAACTGATCGCGGGTTGACGTCCTCTCGACGGGAGTGACGTTGCCATGGAGAGATTCGTTTTGTCCTGGTTCGTCCTGCATCCGGCACCTGCGCCAGCTGGAGCTCTCGAGATGACACGACCGTGTTATTGGCATTAGCGTTGCCGGCTGAAAGCCAAACAAAATCTATCCATCCTGACGAAGCGATGGGGTTGCTGGCGCTGAAGAACGGGACGTGGAAAACAGAGGCCTCGCAACTGTCGTGCCGCGTACACCTAACACGCTGTGCGAATGCAAAATCGGCTTTTGGTAGCTGGCTATTGAAATCGATTCTACAGATTCTGGTGCTGTGAGGGGGTTCTCGGTCGCGATCGTTTCAGTACATATCTGGATTCAACTGAATTCTCCATCTTCATGCAGCTTTAAAGGGCGGCTTTTGCAAAATGGAGGGATTACA